TTTTGGTTATTGAACGAAGCACAATCTGGGTATGACGATAAATTACACCGAGCAGCAAAGCCTCTGATCGGGAGATTAGAGGTTTGGAAAAGCCTGAAACTACCTCGTAAGTGCTCGTGTTTCCAGGTTCACATTGCCCCGGGGCGATAACACTTGTTAGGGTCCCAGCTATGAGCAAATAGTGAACTACCAAGCAAAAATGAATACATTTTTATAATAAAATGACCAACAATACATTCTTACAGCAAAATGACAATCAATGCAGCAATAAAAAAAAAGTATAAAAATACATTGTTATAGTAAAATTACCAATAATACATTTTATGATCTACAAATTATATATCTAAAAAAAACATATCTTTACTCGAAAAATATAAAATTATGTACAAAATATATTCAGTTGAAGGCATAAAAATGCATTCAAAATGTTTAGATTTCGACATTAAATATGCTATAGAGGTTGATATGCCGCTAAATAAGAACAACAAATCAATAATCTGTCGTTATTCTGCAAATGTTTGATGGACATCGTAATAACCATTTCGGCCACGGAAGCTTCGATGATTAAGCGAAACACAATCTGTGGTCATTCTGCAATTATTTTCCTTCCCAATTCTTTACGCCATCTTTAATGGACATCGTCATGACTATTTCGGCCACAGAACTGTTCCAGTGTGCATCCACTACCACTTCTAATGCTCTATAGTGAGCGGCTTGGTGAGAGTAGTCGTGGCTCCAGGAGGGGGGCACAGTCCTATGGTTAGAGAGAACTCAGTAGAGTTCCACCACGGAATATGTGAGCGAGCGGCGCTTTGTTGAGTCTGATTTGCAATCCCTTCGCTACCGAGACCCGTTGGAACAGTTGGTATGATGTTTGCTTGTACAACCTAAATGTCAGGGTTTCAATTCTCGGTAGTGGATGCGCACTCCTGATAACTCCCAAATATAGGATGAAACGACCGTCCAGTGTTTTCTGTATTCTGTTGAGGTTTCTTTCAGACTCGATGAATATAATTATCAAATCCTCCTAATAATTTCTATCATATATATATTTATTATTTACATTATTCGGAATTTTGTCGTCATATTTATTACAACGTTTCGGCTGTTGTACACTCCGGCCTTCTTCAGGTGGTTGGAATGTCGAACTGAACCCGTTATTTTCCCTAAATATAAATTCTACGTTACTTTGAATCCGATCATATTGTTCTGAACTTTATTTCTAATTAACTTATTTTTATGTCTTTTTGTATGTGTTGCATGATTTTGCGGTGAGCGGGGGGCGGGGGAGTGGGTGTGTGATATCGCCTAAAAGGAATGGCAAAACTTAGTAAAAAATAAATAAAAAGAAACAAAAATAGATCAAAATATGATCGCTTGGCACTGAGAACCAACAAAGCGGGAGTTTGAGAATGAAATTTGTTCTCGTAAATGATCACCTTGAAAAACTAACCGACAGACACTAGAAGTCAGATTAAAAGAGCTGAAGGTTCAACGAAGCTTGTAAATGAGAATTCAGTTCCACTTGGAAGCCTGGCGTAACATAGTCTTCTTACATTGCCTTGGCCTTGTGCCGTACTAAGTAAGTTTAGTAAGCCTCAATAAAAAAAATGACACCTAATATAATACGAAGATTGATTTTTTTTATATTTATAAAAAGTTATTTATAAACGAATTATATTTTGAATTGTATGAATAATTCTTTTTCTTGTGAATAAAAATTACATTAACACTTTTTGGAGAATAGCTAAAAAAATTTCAGATACAAGTCCTACTATTAACCCATAGATGGGGAAAATGGCTGAATTCCTTTCCCAAGAGTGTTTGGGCGTACATGAATGCAACGATCTCGACTGGAATTCGAACTTGGCTGTTCGATTTCTCATATCGAGCTGTTGTTCCTCAGAACATACGCACATCCATTTAATGAGAAACACTAAAATTCTACTACTACTACAACACATTAATGCAGTTCGGCTGACAGTGATAATAGTTTTGATCGTAATGATAACTACGATTATGATTATGATGTTGATGTTTGTTGAAGGAGTGATAGAGATAAGCTAAGGTTATAATTTGAAACGTCTAATAATACAGAGAGGCATGAGAGGAGGAAAATGGTTGAAAAGAATTGAATCAGTCGTTGTCACACCAATGACGTTTTCATTCACTCTAACCAATTAATTCGAGTCAAACGGTCACCACAATCATGGCGGACAATGTTATTTTTTTAGGAAAATGGTGACCCTTGACACTTAAATTATTAGTAAAAGACTTTATTAATGTTTAAACGTTTTTTTTTTCTTTGTTACAGTACGCGTTCATTATATTTTGTACATTGGTAAATCCACAGAAACTGATTTCCCCGACTAAAGCATACTCGTACGCATGCGCGGAGTTATCGACACAAAAGAGTTTAAAATTAAATTTTTATAGTTGCATAAATTAAATATATTCATTTATGCAACTTCATATGTCATATGCTTTCAGGAGGTGAGTGATCACTGATCTGCATAACCTCCTGACTTACGGGGTACATTGAATATAAAGAAAATCAGGAAACACAATGAGTAAGGAGTTTGAGAAGTCAGGGGATGCTTGATAGAATAATACCTACAAAAACAAAGAGGGTTAGTAAAAGGAGTTGTTGTGAGTGTTAGTCTCTTTCCTCATAATATATTGCAGAAAATTCAGTTTTTGCTTTCTGAATGTTTTCTTGTAATTCCTACTCCCCTAAAAACTGCATCGTTTTTCGTATGTTTTATCCATGGTATTCCCAGCATTCATCAGTAGAACTATACCTCTGTCTTTTCAATCACATTCACTGCCATAAAGGAGATCAGATATCATTTAACAGTTCAGCATTCTTTTCCTTTTCTACCAAGACATTTTCATACCTCTTAATACTTTCATTGTTCTTGTGTCTTCAGAAACTGTTTGCCTGTGTATGTGTTAGACGGCTAAATGGCTGGACCGAAACAGGCAAAATAAAAAAAGGATAACTTGATTCTCGAATCAGCATGGGACAGTTGGAGTTGACTTCTGAAGTCAACAGCGGTCACCATAGATAAGCCTATGTTCAAAACTGCTTGTCCCGGCCAAACTGTAAAAAGAGATCTCTTTTTACGCGACAACGCATAAACCGGAAACATCCTAATTGTTGTCGTCGATATCCACTCACATCCGAGTATCGGGATCATTATCCTCTCTCCCTATTCCCTTTCTCTCTTTTTAGAGTTTAGCCGGAACAAGCAGTTTTGAACCTAGGTTTATCTATGGTGACCGCTATTGAACTCCAACTGTCCCATGCTGATTCGAGAATCAAGTTACCCTTTTCTTAGTTATTAGGGAGAGAGGATAATGATCCGGTGACGGAGATGGCTATGGATCAAAGAGACATTGACGAGGACATTCGCGTGAATTTGATTTTGGTGGACAGCTCTGCTCAACAAAGAAGCCCACACAGTTAGACAGGAGCGCCTCCCTTGCGGCTCAGTGGAGATTGTGACAGGCGAGATCTAGCAAACCTGGTTGCATCGGGCTGTTGCATGCTTTGTCTGTCAAGGTCTGCCTTGGTTACATCAGCCCGACTCTCGCTGCTCGCTTTGGCCATTGAGATCATTTAGATCTTTGCCTACTTCACCGTTGGGCTCTTCAGGGGTTGGTCGCTTTTAGTTAGCTCCTTCCTTTTCGATCTTACCGCCATCGGTTGTCCTACAGGTTGGAGCTCTTAAATGTAATTATCTACAGAAATATTATATTTATTTCTATGTCTGACAAGGTGAACGCAAGAATTTTTAAAATTTGAATCTAAAATCTAGCGTTCCTACATATTCAGTGTTTCCACTCGATGCATAATTATAATAGACATTTCCATTAATATTTCCTGCTCCCCATACATATACATACATATAAATCTATCAAGAAGAAGATTATTTTAGACTGATGAAATCTTTTAGAAAAGGTCGAAACGCGTTACAGAGAATTTTTTCCACTTTGTCATTCAATTATCTAATTAATTTCTAAAATTTTGCCAATAGAAGTTGTTCCGGATATGCCACTAGCAGCATTGGAAAACAGAATAGTCAAACCGAGTTCAAAGTCCGATTGAGATAATCTATGCTTTCGTTGCACTAATTCCCTTGAGAAAGGCATGAACTAGAATAAATGATGCAAGTGACTTTTAAAACAATGGCTTTCGTTAAACCAAATTCACGTGTAGTGATTATGAAAATTTGTTTGCTATTTCAGAAAAAGGGATTTTTCCAGAAATTATAAAAAAAAAAAAACTGACAAGATACAGGGTGTGGCAAAAATACCTCACACATATACCTTCAAGAAAACCTTCCCTATAAAGTTAAGATATTAGATCGATGAAGACACCATTGCCAATAATGTCTTCCTATTATATGGGAGATATAAGTGGGAAGTATTTCTGCCGTACCCTGAAGAATTTTATTTTAGTCCCTGTGTGTGTTTGTTTTTTTTTATTTGTATGTGTGTGTATGTATGTATGTGTGTGTCTGCGATTTTTTATAAAGGTAAAACAACAATTTTCTGACAGAATCAACATTCTTGGATCAATTGAAAACTGTTAGCATCTTTTTTTTTAATGCAATTAATATAACTATGATCAACTCGTGTGACTGCAATCATTTTAGACATTTAGAAATTAGGAGCAACGTAGATTACTTAAAGAGCTGAAGAAGTTGCCTAAAATTCTGAGGATCATTATTTTGAATATCGTTGAAAATTGTTTTATGGCATTTTAATGACGGTAAGCAACGAATATATTGACAATGGATGCATCATTGAAAATGCCTGATCTTAATCGATTTCCTTTTCAGATGGAAACGAGTTGAATGCGGCAAAGTTTCCCCGGTCGGAGAGAGACAAATACGAAAGGAACGCGAAAATAGCAAGAAACCGACCGAGAAATTTTTTGCAGCTCTTATGAAACCCAGGGTAAAAATCTTTTTTCTTTTATATTTGCCCTCTTCATGTCTTCATATCATGTTCCCTGTCTATCTAGCTATCTAGCTAGCTAGCTTGCTAGCTAGCTGTCTGTCTATTAGTCCGTTCATATCTATTTATCTATTATAGTCCTTTCATATCTGTCTATTTATTAGTCTATTCATATCTATCTATCTATCTATCTATCTATCTATCTATCTGT